TTTTTGGGGCAAGCCTGACCTGTTGAAAAGAGATGGTATTCATCCCTCCTGGGCTGGTGCTGCTCTTCTCTCTAGTAATATGGCACATAGTCTTAGACCTCAAACATGACAATCTGGGGCTCAGGTCAGGAAGCAGACAGACTGGCTAAACCGACCGTCTGCCAGCTGTCTCACGTCACTGAGGTCAGACAAATCCCATCACTTAGAGCCTCTTTCACCTAGATATCATCATATAGAGACTGTGTCTGTTCCCCGAATTAGGAAATACAAAAAACCTCCAAACCCATCTAAGGGTAAAAATTTAAATGATGTTCAACAAATAAAAAACAGATATAATACAATTGAGCAAATGATAAAGCTTGGGTTGCTGAATATTCGATCCCTTACTTCAAAAGCACTTATTGTTAATGATATGATTACAGACTATAACCTAAATGTGCTGTGTTTGACAGAAACCTGGCTAAAACCAAACAATTACATTACTTTAAATGAGTGCTGTTATAAACATGAACCTCGTCTGAAAGGCAAAGGGGGAGGTGTTGCTGTAATTTATAGTAATACTTTCAAAATTACTAAGAAGTCTAGTTTCAAATATAATTATTTTGAAGTGTTGGTGCTTAATGTAACAACATCGAGTGTAAATGATAAATCACGTTTGAATTTGTGCTGGCTACTGTATACAGGCCACCAGGGCACCATACAGACTTTATCAAAGAATTTGCTGACTTTCTATCAGAGTTAGTACTGGCTGCAGATGAAATCGTAATTGTTGGTGATTTTAATATACATGTAGATAACAAAAAAGATGCATTGGGATTGGCATTTAAATATATGCTTAACTCTATTGGAGTTAGACAACACGTGTCAGGACCTACTCATTGCCGTAATCATACTCTAGATCTAATATTATCACATGGAATAGATGTTGATGCCGTTGAAATTCTGCAGCAGAGCGATGACATCTCAGATCATTATCTAGTCTCGTGTAAACATCATTTAGCCAAGGCTGCAAAGCCGACTCCTTGTTACAAATATGTTAGAACTATCACTTCTGCCACTAAAGATTGCTTTATTAATAATCTTCCTGATCAGTTCCATCATTTCAGCATCCCGGATAGCCTAGAAGAACTTGATATTGCGACATAAACTTTTAACTCTCTTTTTTCTAGTACTTTAGACACAGTTGCTCCGTTTTGCTTAAAGAAGATTAAAGAAAATAATCCATCTGGGTGACCAATGTGGTTCCATTCTGGCCATGCATGCTCTTTCGGGATGTGATACCACCTCATATCCTGTCGGGAAGGGGAAGGTGTCTGCATTCAAGGCCGTGAGAGTCGTACCTTATAAGCTTCTCCACTGTATTAGAGAGGCAGAAGCCACAGATTTACAGATCACAAAAGCAACAAGGGCTTTCTTTCTGGCTCTGTACAATCAGAGAGTTCCTGTAACCTTGGATGCAACCCGGTATGAAATTTACCGGAAGCGGAACAGTCCCCCAGCAATGAAGACACTAACTGCTACAGAGCGCAATATGCGCCTTCATGGAAGACGTGCCAGCCTACAGGTGCTGCTATGGAAAGCTGCAGACCAGCCTGATCCACCTGCTGTGGATATCACCTTGTTTGGATGGAACAAGAAGATGGGCCTAAAGGAAGGAGAGGAACTGATTATGCCCACCCAGGAGTCAAGTCAAGTTGCTCCTCCTGCTTTTTTAGCTGTTGTCAGCTTTGGTTGCAAAGCCGGGTTGAAACCTTGCACATCAGCAAAGTGCAGCTGTGCAGCTGCAGGTCTGGCCTGTACCAGTTATTGTTCCTGCAAAGGCAATGATGGTATATGCTGCAACATACTTACACAACACCAAGAACACAAAGAGAGGGATGAAGGGTCTGGAGAAGATGATGACAGAACAGACGAACAGTGAATATGATGAGGCTGCCTTTTGTTCATTAATTGTGAGGCATAGCAGTTTGCCTGAAGGTGGTAGCCAGTGTGTGCTTTGTTGGGGTGCGGAGGTGAGGCCCTCTTGCTTAGCCTTGCGTCTGGCGGGCTGACCCGGGTTGCCCAGACTCAGTTTTAACTCTTGCGTCCTACAGAGTTTTAACTGGGTCCTCGTTGGATCTTGTGCCTTGCGGACCAACCTGGGCAGCCCTTCTGCCATTCGGGCGTTGCCCTAGCGACTTGCACTCTTGTATGGCATGTATATAGTGTATATTTGTACATGATTTCCATTACACGAGAGTAGATGTTAAAACTTCATGCTGATTTGTACTTGCCTTTTGCCAAGATAAGCAACACTAAGACGTAGCTTTACAGTAAACTATACTTCTCCATCCATTTACGCTTCTTTCCATATGGTGGTGTGACTCCCCTTCTGTCCGGCGTTAACGACTGCAGTGTACTTGGCGCGTCAGCACACACGACGGCTGCAACTACAGTGTGGTCTCCCTAGTGGACCAGCACGACAACCGTCTGGATTGAGCTGAGTAGGGGACATCTCCAGGGTCTTCAAGTGGGCACCTTCCATCCTCAGTGTTTCGTCGACTAGCCCACGACACCTCAAGAGGGCTCGACAGTGACTCTGGCGTCCCAGAGTCACCCCCCTCCGTCCCCCACTCAACTCAGCCCAGCTTACTGACCTCTACATCCCTCCTGCTGCTGAGACCTAACCACAATCTCTCCGCAACCCAACCATACGCGCCAACCCGTTTGTAAGGCTGTCGAGCCCCACTGGTGCGTTAATATGCAGTTTCAGTGGCAACGGTTCCGTATGGCATACCACCTACCGCAAAATACAATATCTGCCCAACCACCGGTCATTCACGCAATATACACAGGAACGTAATGACTGTAAATACTATACAACCTATACAAATAAACCAACAGACTCTTCAAGTTTTTCAAGAATTCTACGAAACTGTAGCGTGGTTCGTTGATCACACATGGTGATGGGTTTAGGTGATGTCATCTCAATGGGTGTCTTAAAGACCTACCCCATTAATATGTATCGTACAGTTTCATGATCCAAGTTATGTTAAATACCCGCATTGATTTTTCCTCCAGAAATGCATGACATTCAGCCTAACAAAGATTCATCGTTTATCCAAAAAGCAATTTTTAATTTTTAAAAGTGTCAGGATGGGATTCAGCCTCGCTACACCCGGAAAACAATGCATCAACATTCACAATAGCACTCATGATTGTGAAATGTAAAATTATTTTGTTTACCATAAAAATAACCGAAAATTATGCCTGAAAGTAATCATAATCTGCCTAAATAAATCAAAATATGTCATAAAATTATCTCTTTGAAATCTGAAATTGCCAAAAATGAAATCAGCATCCTCTAAAAACCACTCACATATTGTAGAAATTGACCATACAGTGCAAAATATCTGGTGAAAATGGACAATTAAGCTAATAATGCTAATCATGCTAATTGCTCAACATATGCAAATTAATTAGCATCCGGCCGTTTCTGTATGCTGGGGACCCATACTTCACATTTCTGCAATAAAACGTTGGTGTACTCAACATTTCCGGGTTCACCTAGTTGGCTAGACTATTTCATGATATTGGGGTATTACGGTTTGACATGCTAAAACTCCCAAATTTACCAATTTTTAGCCATTTATTTTGGAATGATTGCCTTTATCTCATTATTTCACTAATTTGGAACCTACTTTATTTGTGATGAATGAACCACTTGATGAATTATCAACTGGATGAACCAGATTATTTCCATGGAAGGTACTTTTGCCATTTTTTCCGCTTACAGGGGTCAGTCACTTCAAGCGGTCATAACCACTACTAAACTGCCAGTTGGCAAGGGTTATCATGTCAAAACATTATCTAGGGATGCATAGGATGTAAAAAATCACAACTAGAATTTGCCCACCCAGATGGTACCAATGCGTGAAATTTTGGGTCTTGGCCCAAGGACTAATATGAAGCTGCCGCTCATAAAGCGCGTGAGAACTGAACTGAGTGCTTTTTGCAGGCTAATTGAGCTTAAACGGTTAAATACGCATACTTATGTGTCAAAGTGATCATGTCTTTGCAAGTAAACAGTCATTTATGTCTTAAGTGAACGTAAACAGTTGTGAAAGAAAGTGCACGAGTATATTGGTCTTAAAGTGACAGCATCCAAATTTACTTGTTTTTTGTTGTTGTTGTTTATTGAACCAACCATTGGAGCAGTTTATTGACATGATAGAGCTTCACAATGCAATGCACAAATACTCTGCAAAGATAATTAAATATTTGCACATGAAGTACTATAGATCCGTGTTTACCATTTCTTGGAAATGTCCTCTGTGGAGAACAAAATGTACTCTGGTCTTTTGACAAGTTTGAGTGAGTGAGGAGCAGCCGTTTAAATTTGACATTTGAATGAGAGCGCACACTAATGACAGAACAGATCGAGCATGTAATCAAGACACGGCTGAATCATTTATTCATTTCCTGTCATGGAAAAAAAGAAAATATGATGAAAAGAAAAGAAGCAACGCCTAATGCATTTGAGGACAGCTTTAGTTTGTCATTTAATATCTAAGCACTGATGACATCTAAGCCACGGTCAGCTGTGAATCCATTATTGATCTACTACTGTAAATCATTATTTCGTTGTTGTCCTGAGCATTATATACCTCTTGTACAGTATGCTGTTCATGGTGACAACTTTTTTTTCTCTCTCTGACATGGCATGGCCACTACACTTCTTTTATCAAACATTATTTTTATTGTTGGATTCAGAACTACATCTTGGACAGAACTCACGTTTGCATGACAGTTTATTTGTCAAAACCTGTCAGCACAATACACCTATAGACAATGCATGACTGAGAATATTGAAGCCATGTTAATGTCTTAAAATTGCTGGGACCTTCAGACGTTCAATTAAGATGCGTGTCTGATAAAAAAGAATGGTCTTAAATGTCTTCAAATGGTTTATTTGCTTTGTCCCGCCAGCAATCTAAATTCAATATGCTCTTGTGTTTTAGATCCTTCTGAGCCTTTTTGTGGCTGTTATTTTGGACAATCTTGAGTTGGATGAAGACCTGAAAAAGTTAAAACAGGTAAGACATTGTTCTATTTATTTTGCTTATATTATACACTACCGTTCATAAGTTTGGGGTCGGTAAGATTTTGTAATGTTTTTGAAAGAAGTCTGCCTTTATTTGATCAAAATTACAGTAAAAGCAGTGTAATATTGTGAAATATTACTCCGGTCTTCAGTGTTACATGATCCTTCAGAAATGATTCTAATATGCTGATTTGGTAACATAAGAACTTAACATGTCTTATTATTAATGCTTAATATTGCTTATTATGTGCTGCATAATATTTTTCAGAACTCTTTGATGAATATAAATTTCAAAAGAACAGCATTTATTTGGAAAAATATTTTGTGACAATGTAAAAGTATTTACTGGCACTTTTTATCAATTTAATACACCCGTGCTGAATAAAAGTATTAATTTCTTTTTTATATATATATTACTGATCCTTTTGAATGGTAGTGCCTGTATTTAAATTTTATTTTGTAGCAGTTGGTAACATTTAAACCTGTCCTCGTTTTCTGGGGGAATGACTCTGGAACAGGACAATTAGCAAAGCTGAATTAAAACAACTTGTTAAATCCCTTCATTAGCTGTCAGACCTACCCTAACTAATAAGATCAAGTTAAAAACTAAATTATCTTGTAACTCTTTGACAATGTGCTTTCTAGAGTTGGTGAACCGTGGAATCAAATATATCCCAAAACATTCGTCAACAAGCAAAAATAATAGCCTTAAAAAAGTTTGGTGTGTCTTTTCTGCATTTGAGGAAAATCAGCAAACAGGGTGAGCCTGCCATGTTAATTAGTACAGTTCTCCATCTTGTTCTCTGTCTATTTTTACTTTTTTATGGGGCCATGATGCGCAGGTAATGATGACTCATAGCATAATTAGCGCGAGAAAGCGTGACCTGTTTGGCAAGCGCACTTAGAAAAAATAAGACACCTTCTTCATAGGATGCAAATGAACTTCTGCTGCGGCCAAGTATCATAGGAAATGGCTTTTGAAAGCAATTAGAGGTTGCATGTCTCTGTGGATAACAGCATGTCACTTCTCCTTGAGCACATCAGAAACATAGTTCAGCAATTGTTGAAAATGTTGAGAGAGGGAAAGAGAAAAAAAACAAAACAAAAAACAAATCTCAATTTGCATGATTACTTTTGCAATTTGTCATAACAATCTGCTGTGTTACAAGATATGCTAGAACAAATTGTTAAAGTAAAAGTGTAAATTGAAAAGCAAAAGCCACTGGTTTCCTGTGATTTTTCTTTTTCTCAGTGCTTTTTTCATTCCGAGTAAATGACATGAGCTGTGTGGTCCTTCAATCCACCAGGCTGTCAAGCTGCAGGCATCTTCACATGCCCAGATCGGTTATCCCTCAGACACAGCTGACTGATTCACGGTTCCACCTGTAAAATTGCCTATTTTATAGGTGCTTCAAGCACAGATGGGGGCAATCCAAAAATAGACTAGATTGTGATTGCTCTCCAAGTATACAGGTGGCTTTTATAAAGCACAATTCAACAGCTGACCTTAATTGAAGGAAAACCATTTCTAGCTGATGTGAAACAAATAACAACCGGACGTGTTTTTGTCCTTTCCCTCACAGTGGCTTTATAATAATAATAATACATTTATTGTATATAGCGCCTTTAAAAGTTGCTTTCTCAAAGCGCCTTACAGGCAAACATAAAAAAAGAAAAAGTTAAAAAAATTAAAAATAAATAAATAATTATTTTTTTTTTACATTTTTTAAAAACTACACACTTAAATACACAAATAAAACAGGTAAAATGAATGATCAACTAAAAGCAATTCTAAAATAAAATGTTTTGAGACGAGATTTAAAAGTCACTAATGTATGTGCTTCCCTGATGACAGCCTTATGACAGCTCTCCTACAGTAGGTTATTTTTTCTTTCCGTAGAATTTTCCGTTGCTGCCTCATAACCTCTATCACCTTGTTATAAAGACATCAGTAACTGTCTCCTAAAAAGTTTGCCAACTGCTAGATTGAAGGATTTCTGAAAATGGAACATTAATCAAGACAGTATTTAACCTTCAATCTCTTACATCCTCACAGACAATTTTTTTTATTGCAAAGCTTGGCAGGAAATTGTTTGTCTGTTTGATTAGGCTTAGCTTTGTGTCATTTTAGCACATCCATACTGGAAAATAGACACATTCATTCACCACTAATTTTCACTTTACAGTTTGTGTCATGATGTGATACAATGCATTATTCTCTTTAAAGCCGTATCCCTTTTAATATCTCAAGACCAGGTCCAAAATGTATTGTATTTATCTTTTTATTATGCCATACTGAATGTGTCTGAATCAATTCAGCAAGATTCAGTGTTAAAGGAAAACAGTGACTTTTGCACAACGGAAGCCAATTTTTCCAATAATGCAGTATATATTAAAGCTCCAGTCCGTAACTTTTTTAAGTTAAAAATAATCCAAAATAATTATATTAAAAAAAAACTTATTCTGCCAGTGGTCAAAACTATCTGCTTGCCATAGCTAGATTCAAAACGGTTAGCTTGTAATAATGATTTTACTGTAATTCCAGTGGTACTGGTGGGTTTCCGCGGGAAATTCGAGCATGTCTTTGCGTCATTACGTCACACCCGTACACATAAAGAAGGAGTTTCGGCTAGCCGGCTATACTGCGCGTGACGAGATGTTTAGATGTATAGGCTTTTCTCGCAGCACTTTACATAATTAAACTTATGGCATCCAGAAAGATCCAAACAACAATCATCAGTGTCAACTGGAGATTCAGCAGTTATAAAACCCAAAAGACTTCGTACTTCGGATTTAAGGTGGCTAGAGAAAGAGAAAGAAACCGTCTCATGCGAACACAAGGATTTAAACATCAGCGGGGCTTTTGAAAAGTGCGTGAACTCCGTGTTATGAAGGGGTTCAAAACGGAAGAAGAGACGGCTTTTTTCTGCTGAACAAGTAAGTTAAGACATTTCAATAGTTCAATCGTGTAACCGTACGTTTTCTTAATTCACACAGTTATGGAGTTTCCTTTGTTGTGCCTTTCTCGTTTTGCTATTATGGAGAATATGAATTCTGAACTACACAGTTAACCATAAAACACATTAAATTTAACATTAGTCACGCAATGCTGATGTGATGTTGTTAACATGAATTTGAGAACAAAGTAGGCTATAATTTGCACGGTTGCTGTAAATCGCGTTGATTAAATCTAACGAAGCTTATCATGTCGAATGCTTTTTCCCCCTTAGTTGGTCAGAACAAAAATGGATGTTACTTACTTGTTCAGAAGACATTTTCTTATGAAAATTCTTATGTTGGTCAAACTTTCAAAAAGTGAATCTGTGATTCTGTATGCCAGTATCCACACAGCGCGGTGACTGACAGCAGCACTCGCCTCAAAGCACTGTGTTCATCCGCGCTGTTTCATGCCGATTTACAACCCACGTAAAGATAATAATTCCGCGAATCACTGCAGTTACAGATTTCGAACAGAGAGATGGCGACAAAGAGGAAAAGTTACGGACTGGAGCTTTAAATATGTATATGAAACAGTATTTTGCAGTATTTTCCAGTATTTTATGTATAATTAATATTTGTAAATGTTTATATATATATATATATGTGCAGTATATATGCTGCTATATGTAATGGCTGCTGAAAATAATAAATTAAAATAGAAAACAGTTATTTTAAATTGTAATAATATTTCTCAGTGTGTGTGTGTGTGTGTGTGAGAGAGAGAGAGAGAGAGAGAGAGAGTGTGTGTGTGTGTGTGTGTGCGCGCACTTGTTTATATGATTTATATGAGGAAATTTGTATAATGACATGGGGTAATTACACTGGTATTTCAATGTAAACATGGTTTATGAGGACATTTCCTGAGTCCTCGTAATTAAAATGGTTTTAAAAACATACTAAACATTGTTTTATTAAAAATGTAAAAATACAGAAAGGGTTACTGTACGTTCACACTGCCGCCGACTTGAGCTTCCAAAGCGGCCGGAAGTCATTAATTTTCAATGGAAGCTGGCTTCTCTCAGCTGCAAGGAGCGTCAAATCCATCTGTGTTGCGTTTTGGGCGTTTTGAGCGTCAATCAGAAAGTTGAAAGAAGCTCAACTTTATGGTAATGAGTTATGGCGTGGTTCAGCGGCAAGCAGCGGCAAAACACCAGCAACCAATCGGAATATAGACGTCCTTCGCGCTGGCTGATTCCGGAGAAACATACGATGTAAACTTTCGTTCCTACCAAAACATTAGTTCCGAGAAAATGGAGGAGAAGCTAATAATCGCCGTTGCTGGGTTTCCTATTTTTTATGACATGACGTTGTTTGCTTATAGGGAACAGTTACAAAAGAACTGCACCAGCCTTTGATACTCTCCGAATTGATAACGGTCCTGGAAGGTGTCATGAACCCAAAAATCTCAGAGTCCGACGTCTTCTCCGCAAATACAATAAAGCAGCACCAAACACAACAACTTTCCGATTATCCATAATGATCCAGTTATACACATTTGAGAATTGAAAACTTTTATTTGAAATATTTACGAACGCTCGTTTTAAGCAGGAATGCAATTCATTTGCTCACAGTGACACCGATTTGACCAATTGCTCTAATGCAAATAATAGCCTAATGCAAATAATAATAATAATAATAGCTAATTATTCTTTTTTTTTCCCAGACAAAATTTGACCAAAACGGTTATAAAAATGCTGTCGTTATAAAAGGTTTCTTCAATGTATTGCTTGTTTTTTCTGTTTATTACATTTCATGTTGTGACACCTCTTTTCTCCCTGCTACGTCAGAGCGTCAACGAGCTTCCCCGTATTTTTTGACAAGCGTCCTTGACAGGGCGGCCAGAGCTTCTTTGCCGCTCAAGTCGGCGGCGGTGTGAACGTACAGTTAGTGTAGGGCAGGGCATGGGTTTCCTGCAGAGTTCAGCTCCAACCCCAATTAAATGCATCTGAACCAGCTAATTAAGGTCTTACTAGGCATACTAGAAACTTCCAG